AAGCGGGCACAGCAGCGCCTGCATTTTCTGCATCGCATGAGAAAAGCACATCTTCCTTCCCCTGTCCTGACCACTTTCTACAGAGGGACGATCGAGAGCATCCTGTCATACAGCATCACAGTCTGGTTTGGAAGCATCACTGCTTCAGACAGGAAGGCAGTGCAAAGAGTAGTGAGGATGGCTGAAAAGATCATTGGCAGTTCCCTCCCTTCCATTCAGGACATAGCACGTAAGCATTGCTTAAACAGGGTCCCCAAGATTGTCTGGGACACTACAGATCCTCTTCATGACCTGTTTTCCTTGTTACTTTCTGCGTGGAGGCTCTGTGGTATCCAAAACAGAACATCCAGATTCAGTCACAGCTTTGTTCCATACAGTATTAACCTTGTGAATGCTAAAGCTTCCTCCTTCCGTTATGTATTCAAGATGGACAATGAATAATATTTATGTTACTTATATGTAAGGGTGTAGGTCTATATATATATGTTGTATATAGTATGTTTTAATAATGTGTTATGTATGTGTACACTTTGAGAGGAAGTAACTAAATTTCATTTTTAATGTGTTCCATTGTGCCCATAGGGAAAAAAATGACAATAAAGGTTATTTATCTATCTATTTTTGAAGAAGAAAAACCAAAAGCTGAGTTATATAGCAATGGATCAAGGAAGGAACAGATCTTTGTGCAAGAACATCCACTGCATTCAGAGCTGATTCACTGGTGGACTTTCTTCTTTGTTAATTGTCTGGATTTCTGATGAACATAAGCACAAATCTCCAGCCTTGGAAGCAAAAGGTGGTTTGCCCAGTTAAGATGGCCATTAAGGTGGAGAAGGGAGAGGGAGCCACACTGGGGATGTCCTCATGATTGTTTGCGTGGTGCGTCTGAACTTCTTTTTGGAATAACCTATCTGGGAAAAGTGCCTTATAGGTGTCCTGAGAAGGAAAGAAAAAGGAAGGAAGAAGCAATTTGGTTCCATTTCTTTTTTGAGTTACTATTATAAATTGACTGATTCTTCCTTCTGGGTGAGG